GATTGAGGTCCAGCCCCCCCCACCTCTGATTGGGTGCATGTTGTGCTTCTTCTTAACTTTGTTGTGTCTTATTGTTTTAATTCTTTTTTAATATTTTTCATTTCTGTAAGCCGCCCGGAGTCGGCCGCCCTTTGGGATTGGGCGGCCTAGAAATTCAATAAATGAAATGAAATGATCACCACCCTATAATAAAGATGTGGAGACTCTAGAAAGAGTGCAGAGAAGAGCAACCAGGATGATGAGGCGACTGGAAGCTAAAACATAAGATGAACAGTTGCAGGAACTGGGCATGGCTAGTCTAGTGAAGAGAAGGACCAGGGGAGACACAATAGCAGTCTTCCAATATTGGAGGGGCTGTTCACAGAGAGGAGGGAGATCAAGCTATTTTGCAAAGCACCTGAAGGCCAGACAAGGAATAATGGATGGAAACTGACCAAGGAGAGATTCAACCTAGAAATAAAGAGAAATTCTCTGACAGTGAGAACAATCAACCAATGGAACAGAGGTTGCCTTCGGAAGTTGTGGGAGCTTCATCACTGGAGGCTTTCAAGAAGAGACGTGACTGTCATCTGTCAGAAATGGTGTAGTAGGCTCTCCTGCTTGCACGGTGGGGTTGGACTAGATGATCTACAAGGACCCTTCCAATGCTGTTAATCTGCATCTGTACCCATTTTTTTTCCCTTCTGAAAACCCAGAATCAACATTTCAAACAAACAAACAAAAAGAAAGGAGGAAAACTGCTTACGGTTTTGGGGGCGGTGTTGTGGTCCCCCCGGGAAGGAAGAAGAGACCCAGGAGAAAAAGGCAGGGTCCTGCAAGTATCCGGCTCTTCCCCATAGCGTCGAGAGGTCAGTTGGTAGAGGAGTCAAAGCTGGTGGGTCAGAAGAGACGGAGTTGTTCTCCACCTCACCTGCTCCGGCCGTCTGCTAACCTGCCGGTTCCTTTTATACTCCCCGGAGGACACACAAACACACCCACACACCCACATTCCTCTCTACCCGCAGCGGTTATCACTTTTGGCTTGCTGTCTGTTTGCACAGCTGAGTCGCCTGCCTGGCTGTGTGTGCATGTCTGTGCGTGTGTGTCTGTGTGTGTGTGTGTGTGTGTGTGTGTGTGAGAGAGAGAGAGAGAGAGAGAGAGAGATTATTTGAGCAATACACCAGACAGAACTCTGTGTGCCAATAGAAGTTTTGTTCTTCTCTAGCTTTACACACACAACACACACAAACACACACACACACACACACACCGGCCACCCTCCTAGCCCCAGGTCAATCCATTTCCCAAGACCTAAAGCAGTGTTTCTCAACCTTGGCGACTTTAAGTCCTGTGGACTTCAACTCCCAGAATTCCCCAGCCAGCTCTGCTCTGCTGGCTGGGGGATTCTGGGAGTTGAAGTCCACAGGACTTAAAGTCGCCAAGGTTGAGAAACACAGACCTAAAGGATTACGGTTACAGGTAGGCCTCGACGTATGAACCACCACCGAGGCCAACATTTCTGTCGCCGAGCAACACGCTTGTCAGTTTTGTGCCCGCTTTACAATTTTTCTTGCCACAGTTATTAAGTGAACCACGGCAATTGTTAAGTTAGTCACACATTTGTTAAGGGAATCTGGCTTCCTCTTGGCTTGTCCAAAAGGTCGCCAAAGGGGAATCGCATGACCCTGGCACACCGTAACTGTCATAAATAGGATTTTAGCTGCCGAATTTTGATCACGTCGCCATAAGAGATACTGCAACAGTCACAAGTGTCAAAACTGGCCGTAAGTCACTTTTTTCAGTGCTCTTGTAACTTCAAATGGTCCCTAAATGAATGGTTATAAGTGGAGGACTACAGGTAGCCCTCGACTTACAAACAGTTCATTTAGTGACCGTTCTAAAGTTACTGAAAAAAGGTGACTTATGTCTGTTTTTCACACTCACAACCAATGCAGCATCCCCATGGTCGTTCAGTTGCATTCAGATGCTTGACAATGGATTCATATTTATGACGGTCACAGTGTCCTGGGGTCATGTGATCATCTTTTGCGACCGCCTCACGAGCGAAGTCAATGGGGAAACCAGATTCACTTAACAACCGTGTTACTAATTAACAAATGCAATGATCCACGTAACAACTGTGGCAAGAAAAGTCATAAAATGGGGCAAAACTCCCTTAACACATGTTCCACTTAGCAATGTAAACGTTGGGGGTCAATTGTGGTTGTAACTCGAGGACTACCTGTACCTGTATAGCCAAGATATGGCTCAGCCATGAAGCCCACCTCTGAGGAAATCCAATACCATTCCAGACAAATGCCCATCCAATCATTTCAATTGATTAATCAATCAATCGGAAGTTATGGATCCACCTAACAACCATGGCAAGAAAGCCGATAAAACGGGGCAAAACTCACTTAACAACTCAGCAATGGAAACTTTGGGCTGAATTGTGGTCGCACATCAAGGACTACCAATTATTTTAGTGACTGAGGGAAGAATATTAAAAAACCCTGACTGAACAAAAAGTAAAGTACAATACAATACAATAGCAGAGTTGGAAGGGACCTTGGAGGTCTTCTAGTCCAACCCATCTCTTGTTGCACCTGGCTATTACTTGGATGGAAGAATACCAGGAAGACAAAAGGTGGTAGGATAGAGAGAGAAGTGTGTAGAAAGTTAGCAACAATACAATACACTAGCAGAACCCCCTGCCTAGGCAGGAAACCCTATACCGTTCCAGACAAATGGCTATCCAACATCTTCTTAAAGACTTCCAGTGTTGGGGCATTCACAACTTCTGGAGGCAACTTCTGTTCCACTGATTAATTGTTCTAACTGACAGGAAATTTTTCCTCAGTTCTAAGTTGCTTCTCTCCTTGATTAGTAGCCACCCATTGCTTCCTCTGCTACCCTCAGGTGTTTTGGAGAATAGTTTGACTCCCTCTTCTTTGTGGCAGGCCTTGAGAAATTGGAACACTGCTACCTTGCCTCCCCTAGTCCAGTTTTCTCCTAGTCCGGTTTTCCCCTAGATCAGTTTTCCCCAAGTCCAGTTTTCCCCTAG